CCCTCCTCCCTCCCTCTCTCCTCCTGTCAGTTCATTGTCTTTCTCTCTGGTTCTTAATTCTTCTGGGATAGCCATCAAGCCTTTGCTAACTGAGCTTTCATAATTTGATATGTCTGTTTCTTTTATCTTGGTATAATTCCTTTTTTTAAATTAAGTCTTTAAATCTCCATTTTGCTCTTCTTTCTTGGAATCTTTATAGAAAAAATTCCATTATCTAGATGAGAATCTAGTCCTCAGTAAAATTCCACTGTCTAGATAACTGATTGTTTCATAATTCTTGTATACTCAGTTGATTTGTAGGTTTCTGAACTACTGGATAGTAGCATCTTCAGAAAATCAATGCCACAGGTCATAATGGGAAGCAATTTCCTAGTGCCAGACGAATTCCATAAATATTTAGTTTCCCTAAAAGATGCATTTTTTACAATATAGATGCAGATTTGGACACACCATAAATAGACTGGCTCAGGGAGTGGTCTTGAAGCCTGCTCTCCAAATAAGGTCTTAAAGAAAGCTACAGTCATATAGGATGAGGGAGTTCTTTTGTATACCTGGCCCTAGTCCACTGAGAGCTTTAAAGTTCAAAATAGTTTTATGTCCGGGCTCCAAAGGAGCTTGTTCTCTGGGAACATTGCTCATGCCATAAATGCTTAGGGTTGTGTCTTCCCAGGCAAAGCAAAAGAACTAAATTAAATTCCAGATGCTAAAGAAGGATGCCACTACAGTCAAGTGAGTTAGAGATTTATACTGGTGATATGTTAGGAGAAAAACTGAAATCTCTCTCAAACACAAACTACTCCCAGAACTACATTTACTGCAATATGCTTTTTCCAAACTTTCCAAGAACATTTTATCTTTGAAAAACATATGGATTTACCTCTTCTCGCCCAGTAGAATTTATTTATGTAAAAGTTTTATATGGCCACTCATCTTAAGCAAATCTGGATGGTTTACAACAACCATAAAATAAATCAAACCAATAAAACAATGAACAAAACAAAGGTTATTTCACCATCTCATATCACAAGGTTTCTTATTTACTTCCAACTCTCTCTCTCTCTCTCTCTCTCTCTCTCTCTCTCTCTCTCTCTCTCTCTCTCTCAAGCAATTATGAAAGGCAAAATCTTGGAAATAAATTATCTTTTTAATTTTATTTTCATTATGGTGGGGTCAGAGTGGAAAAAATGGGAGGAGACACCATCCTCTGGGAACATAAAATGAAAAAGGAGGGCCATAGAGGCACAGAGGAAAGAAGACTTGTCAGTTTAATAAACATACTAAATATTACACAGTATGTATAGCATAGTAAATATAATAAACAGACCATTCCGCCTCTTACTATGCCCGAATATTAAGCAGTGGCCTTAGCACAAATGCCTACTTCTCTCTCGCTTGCTTGAAAATGATTAATGTTGTTGGCTGTTTGCTGAAAAGTATTTCCAGGATATTTCCCATGAATAACTTTTGACAGCAGGGTTTTTGGCAACCTCAGCCACCTGCTAAATTCTGCAGGTCATGTTATTCCGTCAGCTGGACTTCCTTAAAGCTATGTGGCTGCAAAGGGAAATAGTTCTGCAGAAGCAGAAGGCAGTCGGGGTCTTTCTTTTGGCTTCAGTCAGCTTTGTATCTGGCAGGCACTGAGCACAGAGTGTGGACCTTAACAAGCTATTGTACGAGGTGCAGTATACTTGCCAAAATACAAAAGGTACATAGGACTTGCCAAATATTTTAAAGCCGATAGTTCTGTGATCCGCTTCCTGTGATCTTGCCAAGCACGTTCATCATGCAAGATTGCAAATAACAAGGACATGTGGCACACTACATAAACCCACTTATAGCTTGTATGGAGGTAACACAACTATAGTGGATATTAATTGCTCGTATAGTCTCTTAACAGTGGCTTCCATTTCCCGTGTTCGTACTTATCATGGCAAAAACTAGCATAGTTTAAAAATGAAAATTTCTAATCTTCGTATCTGTGAGAAAAACATTTAAATATGTTAGGGCTCTAAGGAAAAGCTACCATGGGCCTGCACAACTATCTTTTCTCTGATGCTTTCATCTTTTATTTCGATGCCAGTTCTTTATCTTGGCTGCTATAAGCACCACACCTCAGTGCCTGTAATCTCTACAGCTTACATAAGGGTAAAACAGTGCTCTAAGTTTGTCTTTCTTCCTGGGCCAAATATATTTTATCAAAAAGTCATCTTTGCCAAGATTTCTTTTCCTGCTAGAGGTTAAAATGTATTAAGCTGTGAAAATACTGAAAATGTAATTTATTTTTGGCTTGCTTGAGAAATGATTACTGTGAATCCAGTGTATTTCGTTGTACCCATCTGCAGCCATGCAAAGAACTGAAGACAAGTGTACAGGTATGTGTGCAATGAGACTTTTATTGAAAAAAATGGGATGGGCTACAATACAATGGCTGTCGTTAGTTGCCTAAGTCAGTTTTGTCCTTCAACACAAGTACTGATACTTCCCACAATAAAGCTGCCATATTACACCAGATTTCCTCCAGTGTACCCACTTGCATTAGCAGATTCCCCTAGGGGAGATCAATTGATAGTTGCTTTTTATTAATCATATTCTAATATAATTTATGGAGATTAACCGATTTGAAGAAACTGAAATTGGGGCAGAAGAATTTCATTATAAAAGTACTGTTCTCCATCTTACTAGTTAGCTAAAACATACCTTCAGGGATAGAAGACATCTTAATACCTTACCATTGTTTCTGCTTTATACACTTTATATTGTCAAAATATAAAGTATATAAAGAATGCATAAATAGGATGGTCACAGTTCAGAAAAAGGCTGAAACAACACAAATAGTTTAGGAGAGTTCAGAAATTATCAGGAATAAATATGAATTCATCACTAATCAAAATTCTTTTTGACCATCACTTGCCTGTAACATGCTAGGTTTGATTAAAAATCAGAACCATGAAACCATGAAAGCTATTACTATGGGTGCTATTTTATGCTGTTTTCCAGTTCATAAATAAAAAATATGTGCCTCTTGGAATTTTCAAAATCCTATATAGGTAGCCTCAACTCATTACTATAATTGAGCCTGCAACTATGGTCATAAACAGATCATCACATAACCGCACCTGATTTTACAAACACTGTGGTGGTTAAGTGAACTTATTGTTTACTGTGGGGCATTTTTTATTGGAAACTGGAAGTAAACAGCGGTTTCTGACAAAAATGTTGCAAATCAGTTATATGACTGTAGGACATTGCAAATGTCCAGTAAATGCTAGCTGGCTGTTGAGCGCTCAAAAGGCGGTCACGTGACTGTGTGAAGGGGTGACGTGGGCATTGTAGCTTCTAATTTGGGTTGTAAGTACCTTTGTGGGGGGGCTCTATCACAACTTCAAAAGATCAATAAGTGACTGGTCCTAAG